CCCCCCCAACAAAACAACAAAACAAATAACAACAACAACAACAAACAAACAAAAACAACAAAAAACAACGACGACAAAAAACCCAACAATGGTTCACTCGCACTCTCAGGAGAACAACGAAACCCTCTTTTGAAAACAATAGCACACTTATTTCGAAGACCTCGCGGCCGGTGTTAATAAAAAAAAAAAAAAAAAAAAACAACTGTCGTTTCGTTTCTCAAATTAGATTTATTTTTCGTGCAAAAAGAGTTCAATTAAAAAAAATAATCTGGTTTTATCCAAAGAGGTTATACTAGTTCTATTTATAACCTCTTTGGGTCTGATCACAAAATGGGAATCGCTGGGGGTATCAATTCTAAAACCTTGTAGTTGTAGACTCATTACTTCTTCTGTTTGACTGGTGTTTTATTGTTCTTGTTAATTGAACGGAAAGACCAACATTAATCAGTAATCAGCCTTGAGTTCCAGTTTGCGATATCATCCTTTTTTCCCACTAAGGTATGGAACTCCTTCTGTAGCTCGCTAAAATACAAGTATGAAATATGTGAGGAATCATAGTGAAATCAGGCGCTCGCCAACTAACAAAATCGAAGAAACAGGCATTTTTCCGCCAGTTTAACAATTTTTCGAATTTCTGTTTTTTTTTTGTTTTTTTACTCAACTCTTTTTATTACATGTAAAACACATTCCCAAGTAAAGTTTACTGAAAAACGTTGATTAAAGGCACCAAATATAATTTTTTTCTGTTGACAAGGACTCTTTAGCCATTAAAGTTACCAAACTACGGAAGCCATTTTCTCGCTTATTTTACCTCTCAAACCAACCTACCTCACCTCACCTCCTTCAATCGGAAATTCCTTGACTTGTATTCAAGATAGATTACAATTTTTTCCTCTGAAAGAGAGGCGAATGAATAAACTTTCAGATGATACCAATAACTCCACATGCCCAAAAATTGACGAGCGCCTGATTCCACTGCGTTGTGACACATATGTGAGGCAGCATGGTGGAATCAGGCTCCCGTCAATTTTGGGGCATGTGGAGTTATTGGTGTCATCTTAAAGCCTGTTCATTTGTCTCTGTTTCAGAGTCAAAATTAGTGAGAATATGGCCGCCAAAAATTTGCTTAAGAGTCCATGGTAGCTGAAAATTTGACTTTTTTTTGTACCTTTAATCAACGTTTTTAGAAAAATCCACCCAGAAATGAGTTCTTTAATGGGCATGAAAGGTGTTGAGCCAAAATACAAAAATTTGATAACAATTCATAAACCTGCAGAAAAATGCAAGTTACTTCACTTTGAGTACTATGAGAGCCACCACGCTGCCTCACATATGTGGCCTCCAGAATTTGTATGAGGAATTGAATAGTCAATGAGTCATGCATAAACCATTGATGTCTTCTGTATGGCCAACTCATTAGTTCTTCCCTCGGGTCGGTGTTTCTTTCCCTGTCTTTGTGTGAATCTGTCTGTTCTTGATCCTCCGATCTGCACTTTCGTCTTTTAAAGTGGCTCAATAGTTTTGAATAATTTATGAGCTTGACTTTGGTTAGAGTATAGACCTAATTGAGTTTTGTGCCTTTTTGTTTTGCCTGTCTTTCACTTACCCGTTCTTTTCTGTCTTTTGTTTATTCTTCACTCTTCTGTACTTTTGGATAGCTTCCTCTTTTTTTCTTTTTTTTTGTGTGCAAGCTGAGCACGTTAAAGATCCCTTGGTGGTCTAAAATCGATAAGAGAAGGCTTCGGCCAACACTCGGGCAAAATTCAAAAATTCCTACCAGCTGAAAAAGTTTAATGTGTCCCGCACGCTCATATGACCTTACGCAGTTGCGAGCGCCGTAAAACACTTACAAAAAACAACAACAACAAAAAACAACGTATTTCTTTTCTTTCCATTTCCCACTCTAATCTTAGTTATCGGACTGTTTCTTTCTCATGATCAGTCTGTCTTCAGGGTAACTACAATGTGCCTGTCGCCGTGCATGTTTTCGAGAGCTCACAAGAACATGAATCTGTTAAATTTTTAATATTTTGCAAGTCCGTTTTTTAGTCTCTCTATCGCCTGTGTTTCCAGTAATACGGGGTGCCCACTACGGCTGGATCGGGCCGATCGCCCGACTCGGTCGCCTGAAACTGAAAACAAATACGTTTGTTTTTGAGGAGATCGAGTCGGCGATCGGCCAGATTGGCCAATCCCATCCGTTGTGGGCACCCCTTATTATAAAGAGTGTTTGCTTGCGTGTCCGCATGTTTATGATGCACTTGCCTCCATCTGAAAGGTGAAAGCGTACCCGTCCGGGTTGACCAAGGGTACGATAATCCAGTCAAACCTGTCCAGGAGGTCATCAACAGCCGGGTCTTGCTCTTCGTTGAAAGCCAACTGGAGAGGGAAAGGTTGATGAGTATCGTTATTGTCATTGCTGTTGTCAGCGCTTTCGCAGTTAAGATAAGATAAGATAAGATACATCTTTATTGTCCAGATCCTGGCATATTGGTTTGTTTTTTCACCACGTGTACACACACACACACACACACACACACACACACACACACACACACAAACAAACACACACACACACTCACACACAGACATGCACACACATGCAGGCTCACAATCGCATGCATAATATAAATGAGCAGCAGTATAAAAAATAATCTTAAGCTAGATACATACTCAGTGTTATTCTGATGCATGCTCTAGGGTCATATGAATACTTAAACAAGATTGTTAAGATGGAAGAATTAGAGCGAAGTGAACAGCGCCCACAGTTGCAGTCGTTTTTTAAGGTGGTAATGATAGTGAAGATTGTGGCGGTGGTGATGATGATGATGATGATGATGATGATGATGATGATGATGATGATGATGATGGTGGTGATGATGATGATGATGATGATGATGAGGATGATGATGATGATGACTATGATGAGGATGATGATGATGATGATGATGATGATGATGATGATGATGATGATGATGATGATGATGCAGGTGAATAAATAAAAATAATGATCCTGAAGATGAAGGCAACATAAAAGTGCAAAGAAAAGGTCGTTTTAAAACATTTTCAAAACATTTCCATATATACTTTATCTGTCTGAGTATTCGTTTCCACCTTGCAGCTGGTATCTCCAGTGGCTAACTGAGCAGTGAGTTTAGACTCAAGTAATGTGAAGCAAATGTCGGTGACACGGGGATCAGATGGGTGGTCACTGGGGTGTGTCCTTGAGCAAGACACGACAACCCCAGCTCAAAATACAAGGCGTTGCACAGTGACGACCGACAATGGCCACCCTACCACAATATGCCCAGGGCCCAGGAAATCGTCTCACTAACAAGGCAATGACCAATGTCCGGATCGGATGCGGGAACATCTTTACTACTTTACTTTTACTGCACGCGGTGTTGAACCTATACATGGCTAAGTGACCAAAAGTTAACTCTTTAAAGACGTAACAGAAACATAATATCCAACCAGCAGTAGACTGAAGCCAATGTTACGGCATATTTCAAACCTTCATACACAAATGAGCAAAACAAATTTGCCTATTTTGTTGTATACCTTGTGTTGCGTCGGTGGCCTAGTGGTTAGGCTCTCGGACTTGAGCGCTTGATCAGCTGCTTACACTGTATGCTTCCCGGGAAGCTGAGAATGTTTCGAGTGCTCAATTGTCTGCTGGGGTAATAGTATAGTGTAAAGCGCATAGAGCTTGCTGTTGAGCAGGGGTATGCGCTATACAAATGCTATTTATCATTATTATTGTTGCCTGCCTTTCTATGTTTTAGATAATGACAACAGAATGGAAAACAAAAATGGCCTGAATAACGAAGTTCCCCAAAACAGCGCATTCTCGGTGAGTTAAAGAAATGGACTCCTACCCTGTAGACAATTTCCAGCGCCATTGCCGGAGCTATCCACTCCCGGCTGTGTACGCCGCCGTCAACAAAGATGGCGTCCTTCGGCGTCTCTGTCTCGTTGCCTTTGCTGATCTAAGTGAAAAAAACAAACAGATATACCAGTTTGAAATTATAGCAAATCTATACTCAAAATTTAGAATAAGTATAGAAAACTATACCTATACAATAACGGTTATTTAGCGAAAGGAGTGCGGTGGCGGAGCGGTTAGTACGCTCGTCTCCGAAACGGAAAGTCCGGGTTCGAGATTTGCTACGGACACGGATTTTTTCCGCCCCCTCCTACCCACCCAGCAGTAAACGGTACCTGACTTCGAGTTGAGGAAGTAAAGGCGGCGTGGAAAGGAACTGGCCACCCTACCACAATATGATTAGGGAACAACTTTATTTTAGTGAAAGGAAAGTGTAAGAGTAAGACCAACAAACAGAAACAACAGAGGGAAGAGTAGGTGGCATAGACGTAAGTCTCTTCGGCTCGCAACCGTCGAAAGGTCAGGGGTTCGAATCCTTTCAGAGGCCCAACGTTGCGTCCTTGGAAAAGGCGCTTTACATGGATTTTGATAATTTCACTTAGGTAGGAAAAGGTACCCGGCAACAGACATCGAACGGTTTTGTCAGTATCAATATTATTGTTTCAACTGTTAAACAGCTGTGCCGCCTGCAATGACGCCTATTCTCAAGCCAAGTAAATAAAGTAAGTAAACAGCTGCTTGTACTTTATGCTTCTCAGAATATTTCTGAGTCATTTCCCCCAGGTAGAAATGGTACCCAACTACAGACAGCGAAAGATTTTGCCAGTATGTTATTGTTTGAGCTGTTAAGGGGG